TAAACCCTAAACCCTAAACTAGTTCACCTGGATCCCTGAGCTCGCCTCTGACTGCGCCTCTGCGCCGCCTGTTTCCACACCGGCTCCCGACACGTCCCTGCCGAGACGACGAATCCCCTCCCCATAGAATTTAGGGTTTAGGGGGTTATATTGGGGTTATATTGGGATAATGGAAAAAATGGAAACTACTATTTAGGGTTTAGGTTTTAGGGTGACCCCACCCCTAATCACACCCCCCGCCCTAAGATACTAGCATTACATGTTGGGGGTGGGGGGGGGATATTGACTATTAGGAGTGTGGGGGCTCATGCGGCGTCGACAAGAACAAGTTGCTGAAGGCACATTTTTCTGGAAATTCGGGATCCCTTTTGAGATGTTCTGTGCCTTTCACTTTTTGGAAGCTATCATGATGCTTTGTATCTGTTGGGAACTTTGGGTGGCATGTGGGGCTTTGACAAGAGAAGTCTGCTCTGCCTTTTTATGGCAGCTCCCAACCATACAGCAGGACATTCAAGAAGATTCAACCTTTCGGTACAAGTAGCCAGCTTGGCATATTGAATCACACCAAGCCGTGCCCTTCATCTTTACCTGACACCCTTGGCCAAACATGTAGGACACGTCCGTAAGCTTGGGGCCTCTAGCAGCAAACATTGCCTTTCGCGAAACCCTCAAGTCAGAAAAAGATGCCTTAGACGCTACATCCGCATTACCATCCAAGACATACTAAAACTAGCACGCCAACAAGAAAAAGGATGCCTCGTTCGGGTGTCTGAGAGCGCGGTGTTGGAGGCATGGAGCTGCTGGCTGTCGCAGTGCGTAGGAGACCTGCATGGCACAGGTGACGGCTACCCGGCCCTCGAGGGATCATGTCATCCCCATTACTGTTGTAGCTCATGTCGAAGCATGATAGGGCTCTGAGAAAACAGCAAGTCAGGGACCTAGACCGCAGGAATCGCCACATCCTGCTGATGAGGCCATTTCAGTTGATGATCGCATGACCCGAAATCAAGATTGTGTGGCAACAGAATTTAGCCGTAGCCAGACTGCCGTCTGGATGGCACAGTGTGAACATAACGGAACTGATTCTGGCACCAATGTAACTATCACAGCAAAACAATACAGAGCAACTCTAAGGTAAAGCTTGTATTTACAGCTGCAGACTTCCTGTCTCAAAACCCACTGCAATCTGGAGTGTCTCCATTCCTCCTCCTTCTAGACAGAGGCAAGTGCAATGAAACCTTGCAGGAGCTAGGACAATACTTCTTCAATCAAACCCCTAATTTGGGGAAACCCCTTACCCCTATAATCCCCTATATATCCCATCCCAGTGTCCATTTCATCTTCCATTTTCTTTTCCATCTGATTCTCCATTAGTAACCCTAAACCCTAAACCCAAGATGGGGCCTCGCACCGCCGGCTCACCCAGCCTGCCCACAGACATCAGGAGATTCAGGAAATGCACGGGCTGCAGAGTCTGAGGCCCACTTACTCCCCTCCCACTAATATTAAACCGCCCTGCCCCCCTTTATGAAATACTCTCATCATGTGGTATACTATAATGTATTGCGAACATTTAATATCAGGGGGGTTTGGGGGGTTTAATATTTGGGGGGAAGGGATGAGCTGCTATGCAAGAACTCATGCAGGAGACTGAACTGGCAACACTGCAGCTGCCTTCTTCTATTCTTTTGCAGCGGTTCCTGTGTCCATCAGACAAGAACAAGCTTGTGAAGCTTGCTTGCATGTCAAGATGTATGGTGCGGATAAGGTAGAAGCACGACCTAAACCTCTCACCTATGGCTCAGAAGGGCCTGGGTTGAGGCTCAGAAAGCACATAGAGTGATGCGAGGACTGAGGCCTATTGAAAAAATCACAGATGCAGAAGTTTCTCGGAACATTCGCGCAATTCTGCTTGGCGGGGGGGGGCTCCAACTTCATAGCAGCAGCCTCCAGCCCTAGAGTGTTAGGCCCCAGGCGGATGAGAAAGGCCGTCGAAGCTCCCGCCGAACCTCGGACTTGGCCTGAGCCCAGCGTATCCTTGATTGAGGTAGCCAGGTAGTCCTGATCACCCGCTATATGGTCTTCTAGAAGCCTCTGCTTTTGGTTGTCACAGATGGGGGTTTCCCAATATTAGGGCTACCTTTCAGGGTCCCGATAATAAGGACCATTTCATGGTCTATATTGGTGTTCCCCTATTTTGCCCTAAACCCTAAACCCTAAGATATCGTAAGCAAGGCAACCCTTACCCTGGCCTGGCGCTCGAGCTGTTGGAGTTCTCTTTGGCCGTCACGGCCGGCCCAGAAGGCCTGCCTCACTGGCGAGGGCGACTGCCTGCAGCGGGGCATGGGGAATATACTAAAAATATACTAGAATATAATATGCTATAATATACTATGATTGTTATATCCTACAATATACGATTTCTACTGTAATATACTATAATATACTATAAGAGACTATTATCTACTACAATCTGCTATTTTTACTGTAATGTACTATAATATATGAGAGATGCTTGGGGGTTCCACTTATGTGTAGTTGCAGCGCTTAAACAAGGGTGATGTAGAGCATGCGGGGGCCTTGCAAGGAACTATGCAGAGACTGTACATAGATTGTACAGGAAGTCCACAAGAGTCCATGGAGGCATGCAAGTAAGACTTGCACTGGCAGGTGCTGTTCAAAGGAGTGCTCAGGACAGTATTGGTTGTAAAAGTCCGACAAGACATGCTCTCGCAAGGATCCAAGAGACCGGGCCCGCAGTTACTCCCAGAGTGAAAGACCCAACCCCTAGAGCCCTAAACCCTAAAAACCTAAACCCCCAAACCCTGAACCGAAAGATTCAAGGGGGTTAGATCCGCAGCAGCAAGTGCTTCTGTCAGGTGGCTGATAGGCCTCTCATCTCTGTGTCTCCGGGCTGACTGGGTCTGCATATATTCAGCTCCTGCAAGACTACGGGGCAACGAGGCAACATTTTTCCAAAAAACAACAAAGGCTCCTCCGCCCAGTCCCAGAGCGAGATCGGGTACCTGAACCAGCTCAGGCATGGCCACATGAAGCACTCTTGTCATCCAGCAATTTGCGATTGGGACAGCCCTGCCTTGGGAATTTGACCTGCGACGAGGCCAAGCACTGAATCCAAAGCGGTGGCCACACGTTGTTGCGCATGCTCGGGCTCCAACCCAGCGAGTGTGCCTTTTCGACCTTTTCTGGCTGCATGCCCGCCCCCGCGTTCCAGGCCGGCGGGCTTGAGCGACCTTTCATCGCCGGGCCTTGCACAAGGTTTACCAGCACAACATGAACAAAAACAGGAAGCTCAGGAAGCGTTTGGGGGCACTGCTGCCAAGGGGCGCTTTGGCCTGGCTCTCACCACAGGGGTCGGTGGCTTCGGTCGCTTGGGCTTCGAAGGCTCGGCCGCCTCGACGCTGTAGTTCCTGGCTGCGAATTGCCACAAGCTGGAAAAGTTGCGCTCTGCTTATTGCCCTCTGCGCCTTCTTGGCTGTGCCAAGCGCCCTGGGTCGCGCGGCTGCGGAGCAGGTGGAGCAGGCTCTGGTGCCTGCGCCTTTTGGCAGGCGTTGATGAGCCTGCAAGAAATCTTCAGGCGCGTCTGCTTGCAACGCCGGATGAAATCTCTACGCTCATTGTCGTCGGCTCTGCCAAACAGCATCACCATCTCACTATCTGAAGCACACCTTTGAATCCTTACTCCGTGAGCAAACCTATCGCATGTTGGCTTCACAGCAGTAACTTTCATGCCATCGGCCCATCTACAATAGTCAAAGTGTACAAGAAGAGCAGTACTGTTTGTAGCTAGCATGTCATGGCTGCGACCATAGATACGAAGAACCACAAGGCAACAGAGTGAAATGGCACTGGAAGGGCACAGAACCACTGGAATGTATCTACACCAGGAGCATGACGAAGCCCCCCTCAAACTACAGGCGCTGCTCAAAAATTACTGCTGTTCTCAGACTCTTCTTACTCTTACTCTTATCTTGCTCTTACTCTTACCATTGTTACTCCTGCTCCTGTTACTTATAGTCCCCCTTAAGTAG